AGAGAGAGAGAGAGAGAAATAAAACATATTTATATATAAAACATACTATATATATATATATAGCTAAGTTTATAGGTAAAAAGGAGAAGTGAAAATATAAGACGACAGATTAAAAATAAAAACGTTCTGATTTAACATTCTTACCATTGTGTTTCATATGGAGGGCCAACTTAAATAAAATAATTAAAATATGTGTAAATATTTAAATTATCGTTATGTAAGTATGTGTAAAGACAGATTTACAATTCTCGCATTTCGTTTTAAGCAAAGTTCACTTTATCGTTGAAATACAATTCAAAATGAAATATCGTAACTTTTAAAAATTGCATACATACACAATATTTAGGGCTATAATATGTTGGTAAATGTTGCAGAGACATGGTTCAAGGACATTCAAATTACTCACAAACGCGCAACAAAGTAAGGTACTTTATTTTGAAAAATATTTTTCCAGCTTCACACTTTTGAAAAATCATGACATAGCGCTTGTTGGCGTGTTGACTTCTGGAGGTTTGATAGTTTGACTTGAGTCGCCAAATCTCCAAATGATTTATGCCATTAATTCGGGTTTATACTGTAAATAGGGAATCTAAAGGTTGCCTCTGAAGGTGAGTGTACGGTGCACAGCAGTATTTTAATGTGTCCTTTAGACACATCGTATACAGTAAGTGCTTACTATATCGTTTATATAACCTAGATCTTTTATTTGAACATCACTCATATATGTTAGTTCAATATATATCATGATATAGCCACACTTTATTTTTATATTTCTACAAATCACGAAATAATTGTGTTCCAATTTTTTAAAGCAAGATGCCGCCACGCATTGATGACGTAATGAAACTGTGTTGCGAGCTATCCGCAAATCAACAAGTAAAAACCGCGGTAAAGCAGTCTGGAAAAGGAGCAGCGGCCGCTGGTGGTTTGGCTTTTGCAGGAGGCTTAATAGGGGGTCCATTGGGAATTGCAGTGGGCAAGTCCATTCATGCCTTACATACAGCATACAACCATATATATACTGTAATATGTGATGCTGGTTTCTCTTACCTGCGCTTTTGTCTTTTTAAAGGTGGGGCTGTTGGTGGACTGATTGGATGCTGGATGACCAGTGGACAGTTTAAACCTCTACCTCAGGTTATCATGGAACTGACACCTGACCAGCAGCGCAGACTCTGTGAGGATATTGTAACCATCCTAGGCTCAATAACATGGACTGATGTTGCACAGCTGACTGCCCTTGTAATGGGAAACGCCACACTACAGCAACAAGTGACCGCTGCTCTTCTGAGCTATATACAAAAGGAACTTCAAGCTGAAGTGCATTATGTAGACTGATGTAATGAGAAACAACATTTCAAACCTTATAATCATGTGTCATACGGGTTGTTTGATTGGATGCTTGAGTACTGTAGTTGAAACTGGCGTACAGCATATTAGTACTGTATAAAAATGTTTTTAACTTTATATGGTACATTTGAATCTGTGAAATCCTATTTCCTCCACAGGATAAAAAAGGTAATTGTGAGGTTTTTTAAT